ATATATTTGCAATAGTCAATCACTGTACCAGGTGACCTTGTTACTTGGTTGTATTGTACCAAGAAGGCTACAACCCTATAACAATATGATCAATTGCTTTAATTAGATCATTTAAAGTTTGATTGAAAGTCTCAAAAGCTTCTTTATATATCATCTTAGATAATAAGATTCGCTTGTTGAAAAAAAAATAGCTAAATTAGATTCATGTGCAATATTACAAATCAAATCTTTATATAACTTAATTGGGATTTTAAAGTGAGAATAAACTGTATAATCTTTATTTAGAAGAAGAATAGAAATATTAGAAAAAGCAACAGCAATAGCAATATTTCTAAATAATTGAATCTTTTCTAATAAAACTTTATAAAGAAAGATTTTTTCTGTATCACCAGGACCATTAATAAATATTACTTCACTTTGCTAATTTTTATTGTTAAAACTATAGTATTAAATATAGTTTGTTGTTTTGAGTTTAATTATAATCAACCTTTATAAGTCCTATTACTAAACTCTTTGATATTAACAGGCAATTCTTCTAAAAGCAACATAGGTTAAATAAATAAATAAAAGACAAATAATAGATAAATAACAGAAAAAAAATCTTCTATTATTCTACCCTATATCTGCTAAATAATGGCAGCATAACAGCAGTATAACAACAAAATAACAGTAAAATAACAGAAGGTTTGTTGATATAAGTAATATAATAGTAATATAATAGCAAAATAATAGAATAGTTCTATTATTTTACTTTTAGTTTTTGTAACTAAAAGTAAAATAATAGAACTGTCCTATTATTTTGCTATTATATTACTATTATGTTATTCATATCAACAAACTTTCTGTTATTTTACTGTTATTTTGCTATTATGCAGCTATTATTTGACAAATATAAGATAGAATAATGGCAGATTTGTTTTTGTTATTTACCTATTATTTACCTTTTATTTATTTGATCTGTGCAAACTTAAAAGCTAAAATAGCTCTTCAAATAATAGTTCAGATATTGACATATTTGGAAAATTTTTGAGACATGTTCTATTTTAAGTAGAATTAACTCTAAATGAAACAAAGCCTTATTCTGAATGTTAATATTAGAAAAAATTAATGATAAACTATTACTTACTTCATGATTAGTATAAAGGATTAAACCATTACAAAAGGCAGAAATATGATTTGTCCAAAGCAATTTTGGCTAAGTAAGGTGACAAAAAAAAAGAATAGTAGCAAATAATTGATGCAACTGTACTCCTAATTGTATACAATTTGCTTCTTTTAAACATTTATCACATTCTTAATCATCTTGTAATAAACTTAAAGCTTTACAATTATTTTTAAAAATATCATAAGTGATTCTATTAACAGTATGAATAGATTTAATAAAGTTGCTCTATAGATTATGTTTATAATATGCAAAAATAATAATGTTCTCTTACTCTTGGATATATATAATATATATATCTAATAGTGTTATCTTTTTGTCTTGATTTCTATTCTATAATTTGCTTATTATTATTATTATTATTATTATTATTATTTTTTTTTTTTTAAGATGACCTCTTTGGTTTTTTAACTTTTATTAATCACTTATCAGTATTGTGGTTCAATAAACTACTACAAGAGAGCATACAATTAGCTACATGTTTAACTTTTCTATATTATCTATTTAAGAAGTTCACTCAAAGGTTTCCTACCAATTGCTATCCCTAACATCTCTGCTTGAGTGTTTCATTTTAAACCCTCTGAACCTGTAATCTGTATTAACATTACTGGGTTATTTCAGATGCTTAGATCATCGTCTTAACCTTAGGACTAATTTATTCTCGAGATAAACCTCCTAGAACCTTCTGTACTCATTTTTACAGCTAACCTAGGTATCACTATAGCAGAACCAATACTTGTGGTTAGAGTTAATCATTAAACCACTATGCCCTTGTAGAGTTCATACAAACCTCAGCATCTACTTCACAACATATCTGAAATATTTTAGTATACCCTTGCCAGTTTACTAAACTCCCAATCCAAATAGCCCAGTAGGACTTATGAATGGTTCATTGGTATATCAGGTCAGCCTGATATTCTTTTTCTTTAGCTTGATCTGGCAGCCTGGTTGGTATTATCTTCTATCTAGAGGTTTTTGCCTATCTAGCTAGTTCAACCTTGGTATCCATTTCATAAGGCTAGCCTTTACAGTAGAGCCATCAAAGATCTGGCTACCTCTCTACTTAGATCTTTTCAAATGAACTTCTTGTCATCCAATTTTAACAGATTTACATAGCCACAAGGACTTATCTAGTGTTTGTACTGCCTAATTGCCGATTTGCATTTCTTTGTGTAACCACAACCTTGTCCCAAAGGACAATGTCATATGACCTGTTACACAAATGCCCCATGACCTACCAGTTATACTGATGCGACTACCATTACAGGTATTCTAACCTAATTATTAGTAACAGTTGCTGTAATATGAATATTACATAAATGATTATCTAAATTTTCGCTATTGATAGGATTTGAACACCCAACTTACCACTTAGAGGGTTGACAACCTGACCACTTTACTAGGTCACCACACTCTTAATTTGCTTATTATAAACCCAATGAGTAGGAAAATCTTCATATACTAATTTATGCATCTCTAAAAACTTCTGATTTGCTTTAAACTATGCAGTTAATATAGTTTTAATTATAATTTCTCATAATATTACCTCATTCAAATTTTCATTATCTTTAAAATAACTACATGTTGCCTAAGAAGATGAATCTAAAGCCTTATAATATCTGGCTTTTCATCATATAACTTATAATAAAATAATTTTCAACTGGCTTCAGATGCAGAAACATAATATTGTCTATATATTGAGAAATCTTATTATTGCATGCTTGTTCTAATTTACTTTGTAGCAAAAATATTTTTTAAGGTCTTCTAATCTCTACTGTTACTCTATTATAACTCTTATAAATATACTTAAATAAATATTTAACAACTAATATAAAGGAACAAATTTCAATATTGATATAAATATTATACTTAGTAGTAAGATAAAGGTTATATGATATAACCTATTGATTATTTAACATTATATCTTTAACATTTACACTTTGTTCATCATTGAAATAACTATAAATTAAATAACTATTTTTATTTTAATTAGTAGTTTTACAAAAGTTATGTGAATACTTTTTTGAACATTTAACATCTTTCATACATAAAGTATCTGAAAAAGAAATGCTACCTAAACTGTGCAGCATTATTTATACAACAGTATCATAAGCTGCAGAATAAAAATCTTTGTTAGAAATTCTAACTAAAACTATGTTATTATATTTTTCTACAGTTTTTGGCTTATTATTTGAAGCAAAAATGATTAGTATATGTAAATGTAGAAGACTATGTTTCTGAAACTTAATAATGTAAATATGGATTACAACTTTTTTCAAAATACTATTTTTGACAATGTTATCTAAAAGTGTTCTTAGCTTTATGTTGAAGACTCAGGCAGTCAAATTAGAGTGATTAGATGCTATTTGGTTATAAAGAAGTTTTGAAGTAATTTTTGACCAGATTAGATTATATGTAAATGTAATAAAAAGATCAAACTTATCTATTATATACACAATAGACATTACATTCTGAAATAACTAGTACATTTGGTATAGCTCTCCAATAAATCTCAAAGAAAGAATAATTTTCTTGCCTATATTTTTGCTAATAAGCTTAGAGACATCTTATTTTGAACAGCAATAGTATTTTGTAAACTATTATAAAACTCAGCCTGAATCTTTTTTTGATAATGTTATAAGTAGTTAAGACAATTTTACTTTATATTCATATAAGCATCTACTATATATGGCTGAAAAAGATATTTAGAAAGATAAAAACTATATCCTCATTGTACCTACTCATGTGAAGCTAATAAGAATAATATTGCATCATAATGCCATATTTCTGATTAGTATTAGTATTATCAGAGTTAATGTTATCTGATTTCCTATCTAATAATAATATTTGTATATTATCATGAAGTAGAATTTCTAAATGCCATCTATCTTTACTTTTAAGAATAGAAGAACATAATGCAAAAGTGTATATGCTCTATGCAATTCTGAGATATGTTGCAAACCACCTGTATAAGAACAAAGAATAATATCCTGATTACATATTTTAACTTTATTATAATTATTATCTAATATTATAGCAGCAACTTCGGATGCAGTTGGAATATTGTAACAGCATAAATAAGTTAATATTAAGTCTTTAATAATCATCACTAAAAGTTAAAACAGATTATATTGCAAAATTTGACCTGTTTGTTGAAAAATTCTAATATAAGAATTAGTATTATGAAGCATATTTTGAAGCTTAGAAATAATACTCTTATTTAAAAAAAAAAGTTAAGTTTATTTCAAATTTTGTTGTCTATATCAAAAATGTATAGCTGCACAAAAACAGGTAAAGTTGTAAAAAACTAAAAAAAAAGTAATTCAATTCGATGATACATTTCACCATGTATACAAAATATATAGGTGCCTCTTATTCCTATAATATTCTTATTAATTTTTATACCTACTAATATAAAAACTAAGACAGAATTATAAGCTTATATATTCTGGCTAAAGTTACATAATTATGTATTATTATCTGTAAAAAGCCTTATTAACAAATGTGATGGTTTTAAAAAAGATAAAAGTAAAATTTTTTCTTGTACACAGCAAGTACTAAAAACAGATGAATGTTTAGATAAACTAGTATATTGTTTATTAACTTATTTTAAAGCATCACAATATACACATCAACAATTCATTCTTTTTAAATTATATTGTTATAATCTACTTAAATTAAAAGGATAAACTTATATCTTTGGAACAGAATTATTTTTATCAACTAAAGCAAAAGTAAAAATGTTAATATTAGAGGATTCTTTACTAAAAAATCAAGTCACAAGAAAATCAAGATTTATAGAAAAGATAACAGATAAATTTAGATTATTATATAACATATTATTATAATATGAATTAACTGTAATTATATGTGCAAATTTACATGCCTATTCTTTTAACTTTTTATGTTGCCTTTTTTGATTTTCTCTTTATTTAGATGTGATATTAAAGCTTTGTCATCTAGCAGCTTTTCTTCTCATTCTGAGTTAACATTCTTGAAAAGTCTTAATGCTATTAGAATTCATAATCTAAAGTTTAATAAAAACAAAAAAGAACAAAAACTTGAGTAATTTAAAAAAGCAAAAAAAAGTGTAAGACAAATAAATAGAAATAAAAAAGCAATTTATAGCAAGCTTAAAGTTAATATTTGTATATACTATATAAAGCTTGTTCTTGAAGAGGATAGATATAGTTAAGCTTTACAAAGAAATAAAACTAATGTTTTAGTAAAAAACTTAGTTTGTACTTGTAAAGCTTAGTTTTGATATAGCTATAATGGTTAACTGTTAACATGCTAAGTAATAAAAGTTGCTCTAAAAGAAGAGTTGTTATCTAAAAATTAAAAGTAAATGTAGATTCTAATTTATATTGTAAAAAGAAAAGATCTATGACACATCATGCATAATTAATAAGAATGTCATACTAATAAAAATTTCTGCACAGTCATTATACAAATATGCAATAATTATTGACTTTGTATAACTCCAAAAATTTTAATATATAAAAAATAATATATAATAAATACTAATGATATAGTTATATTAAAATAGTACACATATGTGTTTACAAATATATATTAAATTCTAAATAACTGCTGTTAAGCTACTGTTAAAGTGCTGTTGGCTTTTTTTTAATAAACATATATAAAATTGTTAAGCTATTGTATATGCAGAAGTTTCATAACCTTTGATTTTCTTTTTTAGTATAACATATGATATGTTAATCAAACATCTGTATTATGCAATTGATTTTATATATATTAAAGACTTTAATTTTTATTTTTTTTGATAAAATTTTAGTGCCAAAATTATGTGATGCTATTATACAACAACAAAAAAATATAAAAATTAGCAATATATCTATATATATATAGCAGGCCCATAGGGCAATATGAAAAGTCATAACTGTATTATTTTTATTAAATAAAAAAAGTAATTAATGATCTTTATCTTTCTTTTTCATTTATCGATTTGTATGAAAAAGTAGTTGACTACCAATATTATGCATAATGGCATTACTTTCATTTCATGATAAGAATAAATTTAGCAAATCAGATGTTAGATTACTGCCAGAGATAGCTACTTCATAGTTAAACTGTTTTGGCTCTGATTATTATTTTGTGTTTTATCTGTGGCCTGTAAGTAAGGTAGTAGTTAGGAAGATAATGTTTCAATTAGAGGCAAAAAAATGCTAATATTTTGCTTAGAATTTCTCATAGCAAAGTTGTTTATATTAGTGTTATTATAGAATAAAATAGAATATAATAAATATTTTTAACTTCTTCTACTAATAATAGATGAAGACTGATTTATTCATCTTATACTCAATACATGCTCAACTTTTTCAATAGGTGGTGCTGATGTTATATTTTCTATATTTTTATTTTAACTACAGTTTGAGGTATTAAGAGTACAGATTCTATTGAATTTATTTTCAGGCCTCTCTCAAAAATGTGTACAAAACTTATCAAAGTATTACACACCTATTTAATTTTTATGTACTTACAACTATCTAACATATATTCACATATTATCTAATCGAGTGATTTAATTATATTAATAGAAAACAAATAATGCTTTATAGTGCAAACTTATATTATAACTCTAAACAAGATTCTTTATAATAATAACCAGTAAAATTAGTATTATACTTTGGGTTGATTCTATTTGCAATACTATTTTAAAATATGTTTTAATTTTTTTATTATTATGGTATTCTATATTTCTATTTCTTTATTTTTTGATTAGAGTATATGTTTGTGCATCTGTCTATTCTATTATTTTCAACCTGAGTTCAATCTAAGTTCAACTTTAGTTTAACCTATATTTATAGTTTATTATATATTTATTATAAAAATGAATAACCAAACTTCAACCAAATATTAACCTGAGTTCATACTATTTTCTATTTTGTATTATTTAAAAAAATCATTATAACAGGGGTGTGGTGACCTAGTGAAGTGGTTAGGTTGTCAACTCCCAAGTGGCAAGTCCAGAGTTCAAATCCCAGTGTCGACGGAAAATTTGAAAATTTTTCCTGTGTTACAGTTAACTGTCTCTCACAATTGGTTGGGATAAGACATCTGTAATCTATGTCATACTAGCATAACTGGCAGGTCACATGGCATTTGTGTAACAGTCACATGACATTGTCCTTTGGAACAAGGTCTATAGTTACACAAAGGAATGCAAACCAGTACTAGATAGTGCAAACCTACAATAAGTCCTCATGGCCATGTATGTTATAGAAACCAATAGAAGAAAGATGGAAGCCCACTTAAAAGACCCAAGTAGAGAGGTAACCCAAGCTTTTGATGATGCTACTGTAAAGACTAGACTTATGAAACAGAGCTAGAACTTGTGAAACCAGGCAAATGTGCTGATCTTTGGGAAGAGACCAGATAAACCAACCAGCCTGCCAGAATTTCTGAGTTCTGGAAAAAAGGGTACATGTTGGCAAATATGTAAACTAGAGGTACAGTCTTATCTTACCTTTCTGGGCTATCTGAAATAGCAGCTTGGTAGAATACCAAAGTAGTAAGAATATGTTGTGAAGTAAGTACTAGGATTGAGGTGAACTCTACAAGGGCATAGTGGTTTAATGATATGCTCTGACTGCCAGTATTGGTCTCGGCTATAGTAATATCAGGTCAGCTGTAAGAATGGGATACAGAAGATTCTAGAAGGTTTAGTACAAGGTTAAAGGTTCCAAAGAACTGCTTTAAAGACTTAGTAGCTATAGCATATTTTCACTAGCATTGGCTAGAGTTATTGGTAGGCAAAGGTAAATGGGTGGATATAGAAACAGATTGGTTAAATAGGGAACCTACAAGTGAGTTCCAAGTATGACAGCTAGTGTAGAACCTTCAGGTGGACTACTTAAATTAGACAATGACTAAAGTTGTATGAGTGGCTAGTTGTACACTCTTTTCATGGTTGCTCCCTATGGTTGTAAAGCAACTATTAGTCAAATATACTATTAATAAAATCCTGGATCGAAGTACTCACCTTAATATTTAAAAAAAAAAAAAATCATTATAACCAAACTTGAATTGGTATTACATCCAAAATTTTGTATAATTAATTGACTTTATATGTCTCAGATTTGTATATCTTGGATTTGTTTATCTCAACCAAGATGATCTTAAATAATAGATATTATATATTCCTATTGCTAGAAAATTAAATCATATGCTTGTAATACCCAAAATAGATTTCTTAAACTTGTTTTATTTAAAGCAGTAAAGTCATTACAAATCAGAGATAAAAATGCCTATTATAATAGTAACCATTTGCAAAGTATTATTCTTGATTCACATCATATTAGAATTTAATTAATCATATATATAATATTATATATCTTAGAGAAGTATCAAAAATCAGGTAATTTTTTAGAAAGAGTGAATAAAAAAAGTTGAAATTATATATAAAGAATCTGACTATTTATATATAAAAAGAAAAGAGAGGTGATAGGTCTCTAATAAAAAATAATTAGATGATTAATAACATAACTCTTATTGTTTTAAAATATAATTATTGTTTTAAAATTAGTAATTTAAATAAATATTATTTTGAAGTATCAAAAAAGATACTTCAAATAATGAATAATAGTGCAGTAAATAACTACTATTTCAATAGGTGTTTTCAACTCTATTGCAAATTAGTTCTACAAACCACAATTAATTTTTTGCATATTTATTATAAACCTAGTATAATTTTATACTATTTATTTAAATTTGTAGATCTGAGGCCAGTTTAATATAATGTGTAAAATTATCATTATACCCTGCCTGCTTAATAAGTTATTAACTATCTAGAAAATGTGTATTTGTTAATTGATTTATCATGTGCAATAATTATTTGTTAATAATTATTTGACAGTGTCTTGTGACCTAGATGTACAAATATTTATAGCTTATTGTTATTAGGTAATCTGCCTCTTAAAAACAAACATACCATTATCTAAAAAAAGAATAATTAAAACTATTAATACACTATGTGTATAAGGCTCAAATAAATGTATATAAAATCTTTTTTTCACATTTTGTCTGAAATTTTTTATCGATATACTAACTTCTTATACTAGATTGTTTTGTATTGATAAGACAATTGTTAGAACTATTTATATAAGTATGCTTAGTTAAGCAAAAAATTTCATTTTTAAAATTGAATAATAGAACCTCTGATTATGCAATGTCATAAGAATCAATAGGCTCATAATTAACTTAGGTAGCCTAGTACTTAGGTGAAGATGATTATCTAATTTACAAAAAATACACAATCTATCCTTTATAAAATAGTCTTCTTAGATATAGTTATAGCCTTTCAAGACAGACCTAGAACCTGACTATTACCCTCTTAAAATTTATTTCATATACAGTAAAAACAATTATAGAGAATGTAATTGTTAAATTATTATTGTCTGTAGTAAGAAGAAGAAGACCTAATAAGCTTCCTGCAGTATAGTTCACTAACACTGCCTGCATAGTTGACCAATCAGATAACATAATTTTTGTGCAATAGCAACAAGTGAAAAAACTTAATTCATTTTTATTGGTTAGGTCACATGAAATCTAAAAAAACATATATTCAAAGTTCATAGGCAGAAATTCATCTAATTGGCTAATGCAAATTAATTGCTCAGATAACTTATTTATGTGTTTTAGAGTACTTTTTGAGAACACAACATTATACAAGTAACTATTTTTAACAAACATCATTCTTAGCTTCTAAGAAGTACTAGAAAGCTAACTTTAAAAATAATCTCTAATAATCTTTAATTTAAGAGAGGTTAGATTAGACATAAACTTTATGCAAGATGTAAAGAAAAAAAAGCTACGTCTAAATTTTAAAATGCACAAAAACAAAGTAGTTATTAACAAAGCAGTTGTTTTTTTTCTTAAAGCTTGAGATTTCAAGTTAGGTGTTTGAAGAAAATAAGCTTGTTCGCATATAAGGTCTATGCTTTATATTTAAGATATTTTTAAGTCGACTTGGTTTGTTAAAGCATATGGATTTATTAACTATAGATATCAACCTGGGTTTATAGATAGTAGAGTTAGTGATTCGAGCTTTGTTTTACCATTTTGACTCTACTCTATACGCATCTATCTATCTTTTATACGTATAAAAAAATAAATCATACGTATTTATCGATTTGTATAAACTTTTTCTTGAAGTTTTCGCTTTTAGAACTGTAATATTATAAAAATAACGAATTGCAAATTGTATGATTTGATTGATTTGATTGGCTAATAATCACATGTGATCTACAAATTGATCTACGAAGCTAGCCAATCAGACAAATTTCTGCCTATGAATTCAGAGTTGATACTGTGAGCCCCGAAATCGGTCACGGTCTCACGTGACCGATCGTCGAAATTAGGTCGAGTAACTGGTCACATGAAAAGTAAGAGAAATCTTACTTTTCTTACTTGTATTATTTTGGTTAGTAGAACGACGGTATATGGGGCATTCGGTTTTTAGTTTCATAAGTGGGGAAAGGGGTTTTAAGGATGAAATATTGTAAATAGATAATGTAGAGGAAATTATCCTCGAATGTAAATAAAAGTTTTATTATAAATAAAGTAACAAACGGTACCCCCCAAGTAAATACATTTGCTTAAATAAACTTAAAGTATCGGACCCATAGTAAGAGAAAACTATAACCCAACCCAAACTAAAACTATCGTTAAAAACACCGTAATGAACTATCGTTCGCCCATTATAATCCATTAAAACCGCATTTTGTTCGTTCGCCGCAAGTCACGTGACCAAGCCGTTAAACGAAGAGAAGGACTCCAACTCCGATTCGACGTATCGTAACCCCAGGTTAAGGAAGTAGAAAGAAGATAAGAGGAAGCAGAGGTTAATAGAATAATAGGTTGAAGGAAAGACTTAGAAGAGAAAAGTAGTACCTACCTACGGACAAACCACCCAGCCAAATCTAACACACGCCTATTTCGACTTAGCCGCCGTAGGTTACACGAGGATTGGAAAGAATTAGCGACAGACTTGCCGATTTGCCGCACAACAATACTATATAATTTAATTGCAGTGCACGCATGTCTGAATTCTGTGCCAGGTTATGCATGTTGTCGATCGCATGCTGAATGAGCAAAATTCTTTAAAATTCATTGATGTTAAAGTTAGCATTTTGTATTAAGGTTAGAGGTTAGCAGGTATATAGTAAAATCGTTCAAGAAAAACTTTTAATTAAGGCTCGAAAGATGATTTCTTAAACAGATTTTTGATTTTTTGTCAAGGCGAACGTTTGTTTTGAACTTTTCTGATCATGTAACGTTGCACCTGATCTTGAAATCTGATTGGTAGTTCGGCACTAACCTGGCACAGAATTCAGACGTGCGCAGTGCACTAGTGGCAACAAAACACGAGGCTGTATTGTAACACGATAATTTCTGAATCGACCTTATAAAAAAAATTTCGAAATAGTTGTTGAATCATGAATGAGCCGTACTCTGGTTATCACGGTAAATGTTTTGTACAGCTATTTAAAAGAGAAAGTACTCCTTTTCCTTTTCTAACCTGCTATTTAACAATATTCAAGCTGTTGTCTCCTACATAAAAGATAACACGCAATGTTCCTACACTGAATTTTTAAATCTTAATCGTAATGTCGTCCTTTTCTCGCAACCTTTTTCAAATGAATGGAGTGTTCTTGACCTCACTTGGGCTCGTAGATTTTTGACGAAAGCAAAAGAATTAAAAGAATATGACTATGCAACTATAGAAGAAAAGGTGATGTGTTCGTATATTTCGCAATAATAACAATATAATAGGGGGCTTCTGTCTATTTTTATCTGGATTAGAAGTATTGGTTTTTGTCCCAGCCCGAGTGATGGTAGTGGCAACTCCACCTATTTTCATCTGGGTTAGGAGGTATCGGCTTTTATTCCGGCCCTACTGTTGCGATTTATCTCCTTGGGACAAAGCTTTTACTTATTATCTGGAAGTTATACACTTATTTTCGGCTTCATATTCCTGTAGGTAAAAAAACAACGTGAAAACAAGGGTTTGCAGATCTACTGGGAAACAATAATCTACGAGCGGGAAAAGGTTTTTGCCATTTGCCTTTATGTGAAATTTTTGTATTATCATATGAGATAACGATTAACTCTTGCAATATAGATGGAGGCACAGCGAGCACATCTCACTGGTAGTATGAAAGTGTACAGCAAAGTGGCAGAACACAACGCTGAAATATTATCTTCCGAAGACTATTCCAATATCTTTCCTTCAAATACCTCCATGTCCCCTGAAATTGAGGTAAATTGTATTTATGTTAGTGTTTAGCATGAAAAAAGTTGTTCCCTTATATTTTCTGGACTTATGCACAGCCAGAAATCGATGTTTCTGAGAACAAAGAAGGTTCGAAAACAAGTAATTTGGATACACCAGATCACGAGGTAATTACATCTGGCAGGTGTTATTAGCCGTAAATGTTTATTATTCTTACTACTATCTGTCTTGTGAAGGAGACGGATGATGAAGAGGAGGTGGAGACGACTGACAATAAAGAGGTGAAAGAAAATAAGGTAAATATTCATTATAATTTTTGACTTTGGGTTTTTTTAGACAATAATGAGAATTTCCGTTTAGACTGGACCATTCATGCTAAGAAAGGAACACCGACAGATGATTGAACAAACATATAACAACATGAAAAAAGAGAGAATGTGGAAACTTTCAACGGGAAAATATGTCGAAGAAGAATTCTTTAATTAGGAAAACAATTAAAATTCGAGCAGTTAGTATTTATATTCTGCTGTAATTATGTTATACAAGATGATTTACTGAATTGAAAGTTTTTTATCTCCTAGCGCTATTCATTCTTTCATTCTAGATGTCAGTGATGAGATAATTAAGCACCATTTCAATAAGGAAGAACGTGATGAAATAGATTCCGCGCCCGGTCCACAGGTGCCTGGTATTTCGGATGAAATAAATGATTTTCTGATGGAGTTCCTTGACAAGGTAATAATTAATTTACATGCTACTGACAAAAATGTATCACAAGTCATCAATCTTTTTTCCTAATGTAGTCGACATTGAAAGATATTCGAAAGATTATAAAAGAAATGATGTTTGATGATAATTATGATCACAAAAAAGATCATGATAAGGATTATATCATTTATGCCATATATTCATTGTAAGTATTTCGGTTCTTGTGACTTGCACATATATGTGTTGAATTGGGTAAATTTATTTTATTAGGTTAAGAGAAATTGAAAACGGAAGCTTGAAAGTAGCTAATTTTGAGGCTTGGTTTAATTGTCACGTGTGGAACCCAATCCTCGATCAAGCCTTTGGTGATATGGATGTGATAACCGTCATCAGGTAATTTTTCTTTAAAAATGTAACTTGTTTAATGTATCTGACAAGGATCCTTTTCTAACAATCTAGAGTGGAAAGCACAAGCTTGGCATCAGGAACGCAAAAGAATGTGAAAAGATAATCAGGTGAATGGCAGAAAATGGGTTGCAGAAGTGATTGGATCCTAAGGTCTATCAGTAATAATTAAACAGTTTTTTGGTAGAGTTTTATGATATTTTGTTCATAAATATAATAATGCAAGTGTAATGTTTGCATATATTGAATGAGCTAATATTTCTGATAAAAAAACACAAATTTGGAATTAAAAAATTTTATTACTTTAGTCATAAAGAATTTATTGATGTATGAGTCATTAAAAGATGTGTAGGGTTTTTTAAAGTCAATAATGAATATTATATATTAGATAAAAAATAATATAATTTTAAAGTAAATTTAAATATTTTTTATTTAAAAATAATTTTATATTTTATTCAATATATTTAATATGTATTAATTTATTATTTTTTATATAGTTATAGTTATATAACAATTACCAAATTTTAGATTTTCTTTAGTTTTAACATATTATAAAAAATATTTTTATTTTATAACAATTCAACATTTATTTTGTATTAAAAATATTTTTGTATTTATTTAGTATAACAATTTAGCATTCATTTTGTATCAAAAATGTTTTTGTATCTATTTAGTATAACAATTTAGCATTTATTCTATATCAAAAATATTTTTGTATTTATTTAGTATAACAATTTAGCATTTATTCTATATTAAAAATGTTTCTGTATCTATTCAGTATAATAATTATTTTTATTTATTTTTTTTTCTTTAAGCAGTCACACTAGTGTTTTATTAAGACTTTGAAATTATATTTGCAATTATATAAATATCTTTAACAACTAAGTCTAGCATCATCTGACCACCCTAATGGTACCTAAGTGCAACTTGCAATATTACTTCAAGCAAAAGTAAGTCACTTGTCTAACTACTTAAAGTCCATGATAAAAGGGTTTTCTTCCTTTTATGACAAGCTCTAAAATTGTTTTCTATACTTCTTTTCTGATTTGTTTTTTTTTTCACTCTATTATTTGCTGATTTGGTTTTTTTTTTTTACTTAGTGCTTTCTACACTTTTTCTTTTCTCTTTTTTATCTTACCTATTATTTTTTCATTTTTTTCTTATTTATTGATCTTCTTATATTAGATTCTTTATACTTATTTATAAAATGTGTCCCAAGCTATTCTTGTTATTATATTCATAAACTGTTGCCTTAATCTTGTACTTAGAAGCTGCCTCAATCTGTCTTGTATTTCTTTTGGAATGAGACCTTTAATTAATGTCTTTTTTATTTTAATTTTCTTTTTTTCTGTTTTTCTAAAGAGCATTATGTATAATATATATAAGGGAACTCAAATTTTTTCTTCTTCCTTTAACCTCTTCAAACTGTTGCAATAATTACTTTTTGGATTCTTTTCTACAAATTTCTTTGTTCTTTACATGTTGCCAAATATGTCTGTATTTCTTTTATTTTATCTTGGCATACTTGGTACTCTGTTGTTGTATATACATCTGGTCTTCTTTTGTTAAGTTTTTCTAGAGTTGGAAGTTTGTCTATTATGTATTTTATAAATATATTTCTTCTGGCACTACTTTTTTTTATTGTTTAGTGTACTCTCTTAGATATCTTCAGTTTATTCTAAAAATATGTCTAATCATAGATCATAACTTCTGTTTCTGGTTTTAATCTTCTAATTGTTTTTGTTTCTTTTAATTCTGTTTCTAATCTTGCATTCATTATCAATTTGCAAAACAGTCTTGCTGATATGTTAGTATATTTATTGTTCTACTCTAAGCAGTATTTTATCTCTTTGCAACTGACTTTTTCGACCTGTATTATTTTTTTACTTGTTACATTTTTTTTTGCTAAACTATTAGCTTTATTATTTCATTTATCTTTACTGTGACTCTTAACTTTAACAAACTCTATCTAAATATTCTTTGTTATAATAAACTCTCTAATTTTTATTATCCATATTATGTTCTTTTTTAGGATCTTATCTCTGCATATTTGTTCTAAACCTCTACTAATGTTTCTTATTGCTGCATTGCTATCTGTATATATTTCTACTTACTTCTCTTTTGATATTATTAAAATTGCAGCCTATATTGCTATTAACTCAGCTATTGTTAATGTTTGCCATCCTTCTAGACCAAATGCTATTTCTTCTTCTGATTATTTTTATGTTTTGTCTATTTGCACCTATCCTATCTCTATATTATTTCTACTTCTTGTGTCTTCTTTAGTCTTTAGGTTTGCTGCTTCATTTGTATATATTATATACTTACTTGTTCTTGTTTCTCATTACATTTCTTTCTAAATTTCTACTATTTCTTGACTAATGCTGTCTTTTAACTTTTGTTATCTGATTATTTCTATTTCTGTCTCTTTGATTATTCTTAGTCCTTTGAATTTCTGTTCTCCTATTATTGGATTGTTTGTCTTTATTATTTCTGTTATTTGATTTATTGCTATTTTAATCTTGTTACTGCTTTTTTTTATCAGTATATCTAAAATCACATTGATTCTGTTATTTATTCTTATCCACTGTTGGCAACTTCAGTATAACAATTCAGTATTTATTTTATATTAAAAATGTTTCTATATCTATCTAGTATAACAATTTAATATTTATTTTGTATTAAAAATGTTTTTATATCTATCTAGTATAACAATTCAGCATTTATTCTGTATTAAAAATAATTCTACATCTATTCAATATAAAAATTCAATATTAATTTATTATATAAACTTATTATTCAGTATATTTATATTATATTTTGTATATTATTTGTAATTTTTTTTATTATTTTTATATATATTTTTTTATAAGGCTGACATATAAATAAGATTGCTTTACAAGATAAAAATGAATGAATATATAGAAGCAGAATAGAAAGAAACAAAAAAGCAATTAGAAAACTAAAATTAGAAACAAAAGTTATAATTTATGATTAAACATATTTTTGAAAAAAACTGAAGATATTTAAAGGAATATATTACATAACAAGAAGAAGTAATGCTATAAAAAATGCATTTATAAAGTATGTAATAGATAAACTTCCAATCTTAGAAGAACTTAACAAAAGAAGACCAGATATATATATAATAACAAAGTATCAAGTATGTTAAGATAAAACAAAAGAAATATAGGCACATTTGGCAGCATATAAAAGACAAAGAAATCTTTAGAAAAAAATCCAAAAAGTGTCTATCACAACATCCTAGAAGGAGCTGTAAGAAGAAAAAAAAGTTCAGATCTCTTTATATGTGTTATACATAGTGCTTTTTGAAAAAACAAAACTAGAAAAAATAAAAATAAGAGAAACACTAATTAAAGATCTTATTCTAAAAGAAATACAAGACAGAATAAGGCAGCTCCTAAGCATAAAATTAAGACAGCAGTTTATAATATAATAGCAAGAAGAATCTAAAATATGTTTTATAAACAAGTATGAAGAATCTGATATAAAAAAATTAATGAATAGGAAGATGGCAATCCTAGTGTAGTAGTTGGGTTGTCATCCTTCAAGTAGCAGATTTAAGGTTTAAATTCCATCTATGATGAAATTTGGAAATTATATCTGCATTATGGTAATTGTTTTTGTTAATCAGTTGGCCTTATGTAGTTATAACTCAGGTACACCAAATTAGTCCTACTGATATTAGGAGCTTGGAGCATCTATGCAAAGAGTAATGTTACATGTATATAGAGAAATATATAACCAGTGTTGCATAAAACTTCAGTACAAACTTATAATAAGCCCCTGGGTCTAGAAAACTAAGGAACTGAGCTAACAAAAACCTATTTGGAAATTCTTGAGTAAAGAAATAGCATAAACATTCAACAATACCATTAAACTGGTTGAAGCTTATAAAACATCTTTATAAGAACTGAAGATTAAACTAAATGTCAAATATGTATAGAAGAGCATATAACTAATCAGGCTACCAAACACACTAGAGAAAAAGAATATATAAGTATATTATACTGATTGGTAGTCTAAAAGAAACTACTAATTCTGAGTTGTAGTTAGTAAGAAATAATAAAGAAGATACTAAAAAGATAGATACTAGGGTTCTAGTAAACTTTACAAGAGTAGAAATAGTATAATATAGTAGTTAAACAGATAATCTCTATAACTGCAAGTGTTAGGTAATTATAGTATGTTGCATAAAACTAGATCAGTATGTGTGAAATATATAGACTCTAGTAAGTTTTTTGTTGAGGATAAAGTAGTTCTAAGAGTACTAACTAGCATTAGAAACTTGAATAGGTATAGCCTTAAAGATGTTCTTATAATACAAAGAGAATTGCATATACAGAAGGTTTAAATAGACAAGATCTCTAGTTGGCTTGCAAGTATGGCATCTAGTATAGAACTTATATAGTAATGTATAAGCAGACTAATTAAATTAGGCACCAAAAGTGCACATGTGACTAGTTGTAATCTCCAATATAAAGTAGCTTCTAGTGGCATGCTGTGTTCTATATACTTAAATAAAAATATCATATCCTGATAATAGGGCTTTTAATATTAAAAAAAAAAATTTAATGAATAGAAAAAAAATAAAAGAATAACAAGTAGAATAAAAAAAAAAAAAAGAACTAATTAAAAAAAGAAAACCAAATCAACAAAAAATAGAAAAAAGAAAAGAGAAAATAACAAAAAAGAAAAACAAATTAAAAAAGAAGCACAAAAAACAATTTTAGAACTTGTTATAAAAGAAAGAAGACCTTTTTATTGTAAACTTTAAGTAGTCAGACAAGCAGCATACTTCTGCTTAAAATAATACAGCAGGTTGCACTTAGGTATTATTAGAATGACCAGATAATGCTAGACTTAGTTGTTAAGAATATTTATATAATTGCAAATGTAATTTTAAAGTCTTAATAAAGTTCTAATATAACTACTTAAGGGAAAAAAATATTTATTTAAATTTTATATTAAAGTCTCAAGAAGACATTCATGCTAAAGTAAATTCTACTTGATTTATAAATAATTATGAAGTAGTAAGATTGATGTTTCAAAATCTAATATTCAATATGTTCTTTAAATTTTACA